GGGGGGGGGGCAGCGTGGCGTTATCAGAACGGGGGCAATGGGGGGGGACGGGGCGTGCGAGGGGCGGGCACGCTCGCGTGTGACGCGGCTGTGGCCAACGAGAGGGACGGGCGCCATCCGACCATGCGTTGGCGCGGGCGGGCGGCGAGCGGCTGACGTTGCGAATCAGGGGCGCGGCGCGCGATTGGCCGGGGCCTGTCCGTCGCCTGCGACGCATCCGCCGCCGCGCACGCATCTCGCCCATCTCGCGCGCGGCCCCCCACCCGGCAGCCGACAGGTGGAGCCCCCGCCCCCGCCCCCGGACACGCCCCACCCCGCGTTGCCTTCCCGTTGCGCACCGAATCGCCCCCCTTGCGCACCGAATATTTGTACAGTATCCCCGCTAGGGTTGTGCTACAACCCTCCCCCGACGCCCCCCGGCCGTCCAACCACCGCGCCCAACCATCGCTCGCCGCGCAATGCCCCAATGCCCATGCCATTCTGTACCATACCCTTGGTACAGTATCATACCGTTACCATACGCGTACCATACCGCGCCCATCCACCGCCGCGCTACTCGACTACCCTTTTTTTCCACCTCGCCCGGCGACACCCACCGCCCGCCCATTCGCCCGCACGCCCTACTGTACCGTTGTACTGTACACCGCCGCATTCCACGCCTCACCGCAACCGCCATCCCCGTCCCATAACCGCCCGCCGTCCACGACCATCCCGTCCACGACCATCCCGTCCACGACCATCCCGTCCATGACCATCCCGTCCATGACCATCCCGTCCATGACCGACGCGCCCCCCGCTCCATGCTCGACCCGCGCACCCGCGCGTCGCCAGCCGCCTCCTCCCTCCCGCCGCCGTCATCGCCGCCGCGCGCACCGCTAGCGCGCGCGCACGGCCCGCCAACAACCGCGCGCGTCCCCCGCGCCCCCCTCCCCTCCCCCCGTCCCGCGCTCCAGAGCCCCAGGGAGTGGAAAAACTTTACTCGCTTTTTTTGCATCCAACTACAGTACAGTACTCTCTCCGCCGCGTCTCGTGAGGCCCCACAGATCAACAATCACGTCGCGCGCTGCTCCCGCCGCGTCCCACCGCCTCGCGGCAAATCACGCGCGCATCTCGCCTCGCGGCAATCACTGCGCGCGCGCGCGCATTTGCGCGCAAAAACCTTTTCCCCCGCCCCCCTCCTCACGCCGCCGCCGTCTTGCCGAGCACGCCCAGGATCCAGTCGCGGTTCCACGCCGTGCGCTGGAACACGGACGGCGGTCCGCGCGGGCACAGCGCGGCGTCCGTCACCTCGCCGAACGATACCACGCCGAACACCTCGAACCACCGCCGCACCGACCCGTCCTTGCGCGTCTTGGCGCGCAGCCGCCACAGCCCCGCCCCGGAGTCGCCGACGCACGTCGTCGACCGCGCCCCGTCCCCCGCGCACAGGTAGCTCTCGTCCGCCGACAGACCCCCCTG